ACGCCGAGACGTTTATGGATGTTGCTGGAATCATTTTCATGCATGCAGACTTTCAGCCTGATTAGCCGTCTCACCTGTAGTAAACCTGACCTCCCTGGACACCAGGCGGATGTCCACGATGGAGAACTGAGGTAACTCCAGCTTGTCGACGCCCGTCACGGCGCTGTCTCCTCCTTGCCAGAAAAACACGATGTCATCCGTGGTGTATCCATCTGTGTCAAGGTCAGAGCAAATTAGAGGAGAGGGAAACAAAACGCGGAGCGTAAATGTGATGAGGAAACAACCATTAAAGTTAACCACGCTTCTATTTAGAGTCTGCCGCATGAGGACGGATAATAAGTGGAAGTCGCTTTGACAAATCAAACACTTGTTCCTTCCGGTGTTAATTTAAACTCATTCAGAGCAGCATAGCAGTCTTAGTATTCTTCATCTGTTGCCTTATGGAGGCCACAGCATTACAAGAACATATCACATCATCCTGTAATTAGCTTATTTTGATCATCCTTTAACAAAAACTATGTCAAAGTACACATCTTATTTCGCAGTTCTAAGTTTCTAAGTCTCTAAAAAGCACTTATTTTTCTCTCTCTGTGTATCATTATTGAATTATTATTATCATCATTATTACACATATTGAATTTCCCTTCTGGGATAAATCAAGTATTTTTAATTTCATCAACATTATATAGTTTTGAGTTTTTCTATGAGAATAATTCCTTAAATTGCCTTAGATGCAACTCTACATCGTCCCTGCAGCTCACCTGTGACTTTGCTCAAACACTGTAAAACTAGTCTAACTGACACGAAGGCAAATTGTCAGACTGGAATAATTCAGCCATATATGTTCAAACTAGACACCAAGTCTAAGGAAGAAAGTGACACGAAGCCCCGTCCTGCAGCGACAGGATAAGTCTGTTACATATGAAACTCTGGAAGTCTGAATCTGTGTTTCTGAGACCGTCATCGGTACCCAACAGACAAGTTTAATACTGGGCTTGACTGCTCATTTTGCTCAAGACGTGTCTCCCAGCGTATAATAGTAACTTCATACAAACATGTTAACAAGGTGAAAAAGTTGATTTTAACAAACCTGAACGAGGGATAAGTCAATCAGGTTGAGCTAATAGCTAAGTATGAGGGATGTTTCATGAAGATATCACATCTTAAAGTGTGCTCGACCATTAACAACGCTGTGAAAGTACATGTTTTTTGTTTTTTTAAAAGATATTTTTTGGCTTTATTAGCTAGGACAGGAAAGTGGGGGAGAAGAATGGGGGAAGGACCTGCAGCAAAGGGCCATGAGTGGGACTCGAACCCGTGACCGCTGCGTTGGGGACTACAGCACCTGTACATGGGACGCCAGCGCAACCAGGTGAGCTATAGCGGCGCCCGAAAGTACATGTTTGATACAGTTCTGCAGCAAACATTCTGAACTTAAATGCCACCAACACGCAAAGGGATACAATCACTTAATAATCCAATGGCATAACTTTTGCATACAAATGAGCATCCGTTACATACAAGCCAGATGAGTTCCCACAGTGCTGATATAACCTACCAAAGCCAACCTTTTTGCCTACTGGAGCTTTAAATCTGGTGTCTGTGGCGACACACTAGGCTGCAACTAAAACCACCGAGGAGAAACGTCACCATTCAGGAGAAGGATTACAGCATAAAAAAAGAAAGCACTTGACGGTGAGGCATACGTGTTGACACCAGATGGGGGAAGTTCTGCACTGTGGGTTTAATGTTGTCTCCATAGTTGATCAAATATAAATGATTGTATTTCTCAAGTAGAGGTTGTGAAGCCAGACGGTGGGAGGAGACGGGGTTTAGGGAGACATTATTCTAAAATAGAAACATCCAAACTAACTCCATCAAAACACTTCTGTTCAGGGTCTAAATCCGTCAGCTGATCCCGTCCTGGGCCGTCCACACTCACTACGGAGCGCCGTTCATTCCCACCAGCGTGAATATTCATTAACATGTGCCGGTCGGTGTGACACCTCCCACCTCATTCTCATCTGGCAGCGCAATTGAAAGTGACCACAGCAGCAGATTTATGTCAATGGGCTGGTATGCGTTCACTGCGGAGCCATTTCTCAGTGTGGGAAGTGTTACTACATTTCACATTCTACTACCCCACGTCCAGCCCTGGATGGCATTAAGCTCACTAAGGGACTGGGATTCATTACCATTAAATCTCCCTCCGAGGTTATAGGCGAAGGAAATGTGACATTGTCCATGAAACTGAAACAACTGGCCGCCTCATAATCAATCACACCGACGGTTAACGTGCGCGCTTCATGCGAGCGCATAGCGTTCCATAAACAGCATAAACAGCAGATATTCTTGCAACTTTTTTTTTTAATTCGCCGCCTGTCCATATTTCATCGCTCACTGACGTCCTCGAGGGGAAACACTCGGCAGTTTTATCTCGAACAACGAGAACCGCAAAAATATCTGGCGTATTGAGCGAGTGTGCGTTTGATTGATGGGGCGGTCAATGAAAATGCTCCAGCAAATACAATTTTTAATTACAGCACAAGCACATTTTTCTCCTGGCTAATGATTTATCTAAATTAATGCTTTAAAAAAAAAAAAAGATGATGTGAAACAACTGTCATAAGTTATAGTGGATAATACAGAGCACAGTCTGCATTTTTTATTTTATTTTATTTTATTACTTATATGTATTTACAAAGATCAAACCACCTTTTATATCCCATAATGATCTTCCAGAGGAGCTCCACCAGGTTTATGTGTGGATGCCAGATTACTCATCAAAACGTGAAAGCAGTTTTGTGTCTCTTGAGAATTTGAGTTTGAGTTTGACAAAGGGGGAATTCACCAAAACAAACTGCTGCATGATGGGACATGCTGGGTTTTCTGAGCTTGACCCACACAAGGAAATGAAAGTCAGAATATTTCAGCCTCTGTTTAATTCATTTTGGCCTTTATTTAGCAAAATACCTGATCTGGAGAATCACAAGATTATTCTGTGACTCTTAATTTGGAAATCCAAGGTTCATATGCTACGTAACAAAATGTTGAACACTGTTACGTGCATTTCTGATTTCTAATATCTGTATGCAACGTGTCTGAATCGGAAATTACTTGGATAATATTTTATTAAACATTATATTTTATTAAATGTTTTTATGTGGGGTTAAAAGACAGCAAACTACAGTTGGACTATTCAAAAAAACAAAAACTGTATTTGGTATCGTAGCACTGAAACATGCTGATGTGGGGTTTATTCTCTGATGTAATCTGATTTAAGAACAAAACATGGCAATGAGTTCAACAAAGTTCTGGTTATGAAAGAAGAGGTTCATGACAAATAAGGAACAAAACAAACTGAACTGTTGGAAATATGCTTATTTGCTTTCTTGCTGACAATTAAATGGACCTTCACCGCTCTCATAACTATAAATATGAACCTTCTGCACACAGCTGGTTACCGCAGCTCACTGTAATAATGACTGGAAATAGGAAAACCAGTAGCCTGGCTCTGTCCAAACAGAAATAAATCTAACGGTCACTGCCTGGACTGTTACCTGGTGTCTCATCCTGTCAGCTGAGGCTACCTGGAAACCAGTAGGCTCATAATTCTGTTGCTAGTAATGGGACATTTCATTTTACCTATTTCACAGAGCTGTTTATTTATTGAATATCTGAAGCAGGACTACTTTGCTATAAATTCTGGGTAAATTAAGACTTTCTTTTACAAACTCCACACGTGACTGACTGTGTCGCAGCGTCAAATTCTGCCGCTCACTTCAACTTATAGAACAATTTACCAGCTACATGAATATGTTTACAAGGACAAGGAGGACAAAAAGGCGACAGCACTTCAATACTGTTAAACCCTCTCTAACCAAAGATGTTAAAATGAAGACTAAATGGTGAAGACGTAAAGAAAGAAAGAGTCAAGAGGGGAACCACAGGAAAAGTTTAAAGACGCCACAAAAGTGGTGCTAAAGTCATACGCTGGGCAGTCGCCTCTGTTTTGGAGGATAAAGCTGAGTTTGTGAGGTCAACAGTGAAGCTTCTGCTGGCTCTCTTCCACCCATGTGGCCGATGCTGGCGCTGACAGCGGCCCGCCGAGCCAACAGGGAGGGACGGAGGCTGGCGACAGCCAAGAGGTGAGCACAGGTAACATTAGGCAGCAGCAGAGGTGTTTTTTTTATGGTTACATTAATGTTGCTGAGGGATGGGGTTGCTTTGGTTATGCTGACGTTACCACTAACTCAGTTAGTTAGCAGGCATCATTGATCGTTACAGTGGAAGCACAGGTCTGATTTCTGAGGTAGAGGGATGATAAAACAACAGGTCCCATCCTGCAGCTTTCTGGGCCATTTTGTGCCTCTTTGCATAAAGTTGTTGTTGTGGTCGCTTTACAGGCGTTTGGAGTTTCACCTCTCTCTGCTCATTTTGTGTCTCTTTCTTGTTTTTCTTGTGTCTTTGTGGTCTCTTTGTGTCTCTTTCTGGTCTCTTTGTGTCTCTTTCTGGTCTCTTTGTGTCTCTGTCTGGTCTCTTTGTGTCTCTTCTGGTCTCTTTGTGTCTCTTTGTGTCTCTTTTAAGCCTCACTTCGGCTTCATTGCGTCTCTTTGAGGTCACTTTGTGGTAGTTTTGCATCTTTCGGTGCTCGTTCTGCATCTCTATGTGGCCTTTTCGTGTCTTATTTTGATCATTCTGGGTCTCACTTGGTGGCTCCTTGTGGTCAAACCAGAGCCGTCCTAATTCTCTGAGGCTCTGGGCAGGTAGGTCTTTTCAGTAATCCTTACATTAGCGTGCGGGTATCAGGTATAAGGCGGCTAATAATGTTTGAGATTAGTCAGATATAGATATAGTCAAATATAATAAAAACAACACTGGACAAACTGTTTGTTATGATGCAAAGGAACATACTAAATGGAAACTGCCCCAGAGGAACATACATCAGAGGGAGAATCAGTCCTAAATCTGATGTCCTGACGTCTGCAGTAAGGGCTGAAGTTCTGCAACTTTGCAGCACAACACAATCTGCTGACGGCTGCGTCCGACCACCTGGCTGAACTCTTACCACACATATGTTGATGTTAATTTTTCTATAATCCGTGTGATGTTGTGCATATGTCAATAAGCAATTTGAACAGGGGAGAATATGTATAACTTATGGACATCCGATATAAGTTGATGGCTGATATTAAACTATTTTAATTTATGCGGACATATTGAAAGTAAGGTTCCCGATATTCGTGTTATTATTTCAAGACGGAGAGGCGGCCTCATCTATCGGTCACACTGATGGGATCGTAATCAATGCACATCACCAGGCATCGGCACTTTTTTCCCTTACATCTCAAGGCAATAATCAACTCGAGGCGTCTGACAAATTAGCAAAGACGCCAAATATTTTACTAATACGCGACCAAAACAAATCTCACTTATGGTGATTTCATTTTTCGAGGCGACCTGCAGTGATTTTAGGTCCGTTTGCTTTTAAAGGTTGATCTAAGTTCAGTGGGCGTGCTCCTGCTGCGGGTGACAAAACGCCGATCAAGACTTGTGCTCGTTACTCACAGCTTTCAATCTCCAGAGTGCAGTTCTGTTCATCCAGAGGGTACCTCCTCAAGTCCATCATGCAAGCAGCAGTTGTGGTTATTCTGAGAGGAAAAAAAAGACAGAGCAGACAGAGCCATGCGGTCAACAACACAGACAATTAGGACTTTTTTTCTTACAAATGATGGAAAAGGTTAAGAGGGAGGTCATGGTTCAGCAGGATGCACAATATGATGAACCGCCAGCATCCCCCCGCCATGTACTCAAGCAGCACTTTAAAAGCAATTATTTTGTGGTTGTTTATTATAAACATGAAAGCACTGCAGCAGTTCAATAATTCACGACGGGCTTTTAAGCTTATATTATGGTGAAGACATTTTGCCGATACCACCTCTATCTTAATGGCTCTGATTGTATGTAACTGTGTAGGCCAATTTTTCTTAACCTCTTAAACCTTTTAAGGGTCATCAAGATCCGGAGGCTCTGCTTGTGCAGCAGAAGGCAGGGAGAGAAAAACCCGCTGCTCTCTTAGAATAAAAGGGCTGCTTTGTTTTTCAGCGGGAATTGTTCTATTTTTCCTACTTTTCCAGTGATTCATTTTTTTGTGTGTTTCCGAGAGACGTTATTCCTTTTTATGTGGATCACTAACTGCTCAGCCTCTGTAAGGGATTTTGTCGATGTGCGTTATTTATTGCTAGTTCCGAGATATGCATTTCTGCCAGGTAGCTTTGGGAAAGATGTATGCATTGCAGTTTATTAATGTCAATAAATCCAGTAGCCCAGGAAAACAGCTTTGGCTACAAATTACACATGTAGGGGTCTGTGGCATTTAACTGAGAGATATTTACCGGTGCAGCACATTTTAGTAATTACATTTCTCCTCTTCATACCAGCTGGTATGTGTTTGTCACACCAGCTCTCATTCGCTTACTGTCCTCCTGTGTAAATGAAATACAAAAATTAATTTTCAGCTCATCATCCCTGTGTCAGAAGCCGGCAGCACATCCACAGAGGAAGGTCTGATGTGCACGGTGTATGTCAGAGCGTGATGGGAGTGATAGAAAGTTTTACCCTTTAAAGGATGCAACACACTCTGGATGCATTATTAATCACGGTAACCACGAATGTTGCCACAGTCTGTGGTTTTACACTGATGCAGGGAGAAACCGTACACAGAAATCTACAATACTTAGAATTAGCAATATAGCAGATAATAGGCTGTTTGTGCTGGAAATATATTGCTGGAACACAGAGTCTGTAAATTGGTCACGCTGGCGTGAGCAGAGTTCTGTCGACAGGTAATTGGAAAACAAAATATGTTCTGCTGAAGCTGATTTGGTCAGATTAACACAGGAGGCATGTGGGGCTGCTGGGTCCATGATGGCAGAAGGCAGCAGAAGGGTAAAGAAAATTATACATAAACAAAACGTGTGACAGGTATGTGTTTATTATTCACAGTGACACAGAGCTGCATTCTGCTGCACAAGCATTAAGCTGCTCCGGCTGCGTTGTGTTGTGCTCGGCTGTACTGCACCTCCCTGCTGGCTCACAGCTCGTCTGCTGAGAGGCTATCGCAGGGCGGCTACTGCTACACGCTGTGGCCAGATAACATCATGCCTAATTACATTAATGGGAAAGGTCACTTGGCAATCATGAGTCCAGGCCAAAAGTTTTAAAAAAAAAAGGAGAGTTACCGTTAATAACATGGCCTGCAGTTGCATGGGGATGTGAATTTTTCTCTACCTTCTCAATAAGAACATTGCTGTTGTTTGGTCAGGTTTGGGTTCACAAACAACTTTGCTAAGTTTAGAGAAAGACCAGCTTTGGGTTAAAACAGAAGCTCTAACAATAAGCATGTGGTTGGTCACAGTAACTTCTCTGGTTATTGACTAGAAACATCCATCCATCATCTCTACACCACTTAATCCTCACTAGGGTCGTGGGGGGCTGGAGTCTATCCCAGCTGACTCAGGGTGAAGGCAGGTTCACCTGGACAGGTAACCAGTCTATCACAGGGCTACACTTAGAGACAGACAACCAAGCACACTCACATTCACACCTACGGACAATTTACAATCACCAATTAACCTCAACATGTTTTTTGGACCTTGTGGGAGGAAGCCGGAGAACCTGGAGAGAACCCACGCTGCACGGGGAGAACATGGAGACTCCACGTAGAAAGATCCCGGGTGTCCTCACCGGGACGCGAACCGGCGACCTTCTTGCTGCGAGGCAACAGTGCTACCCACTGCGCCACCCTGCAGCCCTGACCAGAAAAATAATCCCTTCCTGCTTTAAATGATTTCTCTCTAGAAAGTCCCCACCTCTCTGCCCCCCTGCCTCCTCCTGACTCGCTGCAGATTGAGCACACCAGCTCACCTACAACTCTGCTGAAACACTGTTGGTAAGTTGTAGAAGTGGAGTAATTCAGTGATATATATTTGAACTAAAAACCAAGAAAAACGACACAGAAAGCCTCCCGCTGCCAGCCCACCAGATCGGTTCCTTTGGTTTGCTGCCTGGCTGTTTGGCCGTCAGCACTCTGTGGTTTCAAGGTGTAAACATTCAGCCAGAATGCTGACTGCTCGTCTCCATCATGAGGTGTCGTCTGTCATGTAAAAAACACCACATGGACACGTTATCAAGGGAAAATGGAGAAAAAAAGATTTTCATCAGAGGGTAAAGGAAATGTTGGTTTTCCCAAGAGCTCCTTCACTGCCATGATTCTACTGATAAGCATGAGGTTAGTCTTATAGAACACTATTCACCACTGAACAGGAATCCCCTGTGTTAAAGTCCAGCGTTTTGCAGACCCGTCCATTAACCCCGACCACCTCCTTATGCAGACTTTGTGGCTCTATAGCTTCATCAAGTCATGTCTATAATGGACACTTGAGCCCCAAGTGATCCATGTAGCTGGTTTTTCTACGGGGGGACAGTCGCAAATGCAAAAACACAACTTCAGAAAGTATTTTGCAACTTGACTTAAACTACAAACAAGTTAAATTAAGACATCTTTGGATATTTGGCATTAGGAACACAACAAAAATGCAGCTAAATCGAATGAAATCTAAGTTTACTGCTCACTACTGAGGAAATTACTGTATTCCTAGTATATAGGGAGGAAAGAATGAGTAAACAAAACAAGTGTCTGATTTAAACATTCAATCCTGGAAGCACCTGGTACCACTATTTTTTTTTTTTTTTTTTTAAACTAAGCACCTTCCACTTCAAACTAGTAAGAAAATGAATGTCTCACCTTAATTTTTTAAAAAAAAATAACTGCAATAAAGACTGTAAATGTGTGATTCCAGGGGGTCTCAGGGTCTTGGACTTTAGTGACAATTCACTATGGAAGCGAGGTATCTTCCAAAACATTCTAAACACAGTATTTTTGGGGGGCATTTTTGCCTTTATTAGATGGGATAGTTGAAGAAGAGACAGTAGTAGGGGAAGAGAATGGGTGGCAGCAAAGGGCCACGAGTGGGATTCGAACCCACGGCCGCTGCATCGGAGACTGTACATGGGTCGCCAGCTCAACCAGGTGAGACAGAAAACACAGCATTTTATGAGGGTACAAAGAAACCGTGAGTCCAAAATAAGTCGAGCACATGACCAAATAAAATGATATAAAAAAAAGGTGTGGTGAAGTTGCACCAAGTGAAAAATGGAGCAAAAGTAAAATATGGAGACAATGCGCAGCCTTAAACCTCAAGTTGAAGTCAGGTCCTGTGTCCTCTGTGATCACAAACAGGAAGACACATCCTGTCAAGACACTCTTCTTAAAAGACAATACCCCCGGTACAGTAGCACAGTGAGGCAGTGGAATCCAGCAGCAGCTTAGAGTAATGGACAGAAATGAATTCTTTACCCCTTGGCAAAAAAAAAAAAAAAAAAGACACCCACTAGAAATAAAATTGACTTTATATGTGACAGTTAACAAGTCAGGAGAGAATCATCACTGAGTAGGCACGAGGTGGGACGGCTCACAGCGAGGGGATTTGGAAATGTCAGCAGATGTAGGTCAGCAACTTAGAGTCCCGCCAGAGCTGGTCAGCAGCCTCAGACCTGCACACCGACAATCAGCAGTCTGTGTAGCTCTCAAGACGATGTGCAACGTGTCGCTGTCACCTCACTGGACTGACCGCTAAGAGCCACAGGACATCTGTTTGGTTGCATATTTAACTTCTTTAAACTCACAACAATTCAAACACAATTCATGAACGAAACAAAGAGCTGAATAGCTTGTGTCTGAGCTAGTCATAAAAAAAAAGGTGAATTCCACTCCGTTTTAGAGGCTACTCTTGGCATTTCTGACCGAGTATCACGCCAACATAACACAACAACTAAAAGCAATCTGGAGGTGGATCCCAGAGGCCCAGCACTACAGACAGAGAGGCTTTTAGATATGTGAGCAATAGTTTTGACGCCTACACAGTCTGCTGCCGTATCCATCGCTGTGTGGTAGCTTGCTTACCAAAGAAGATCATTGTACTATCACAACGCTTGGCTTAATAAACAGAGGAACATGAGAGAGCAGATTCACAGGAATGGGAAGAGAGAAAACACAATCTGGCGAGAGCTTAGCTCAACAAAGCCCTCAATGCTCCCAGGACCCGGAGCACTATCAAACTGGCTTGTCAGTTTGCTGACAGTGATTCAGCCTCTCAACTCGCTGGCAAGTTAGAAAAACCTGCTCCACACTTTCTACTGACTCTGACTTCTTTTATTGATGTTCAAAATGACTTTGTTTGCAACATCTCCCCTGCACTGCTCCTCACACTCCTCCCTCCTCTCTCCTAAGAAGTATGGATCAAACTGTGGAGTGACTCAGAAGCAGAATTAGATGGTGATTGGTTGGGGCAGTTCTCCAGGTCTAAATTTTGAACCTGCATATGCAAAATCATTGTTCCATATTTGGCCTCTCAGAAATGAATTATGGACATGCATATGCTACATGCATAAATAATTTAGCCTCCACTCAATCGCTATTTACATGTCATCAACGACGGCGGTGGAAGAACTTCTCATATCTGCATCTAAGTATAAGTACCGCTGCACCATGTAGGCCCAAGACTCCATTTCAAGTACAAACCCTGCAGTC